ATATATATATATTTTTTAAATTTATTTTGAGACAGTCTTGCTCTGTTGCCCAGGCTGGAGTACAGTGGTGAGATCACAACTCATTGCAGCCTCCAACTCCTAGGCTCAAGCGATCCTCCCACCTCAGCCTCCCAAGAAGCTGAGACCACAGGCATGTGCCACGACACTGTAATTTTTTTGATTTTTTGTAGAGACAGGGTCTCACTATGTTGCCCAGGCTGGTTATATTTTTAAACATGTCCACGCCTACAGCTAATATCTACATAGTATGTTCAACTGAAACAAGAAAAAAAAAAACCTACTTGGAAAGTATCAGATATCCTGCGAATGCAGAAATCCCATATTTGCATATAGTCCCCAGACCAGGTAACCGCTCCACAGAATTACCATTGTATATAAATTCCTTTCAACGAAAGAATACATATTTTATTTATGTACATAGATACATACACACATAAAAAGACAAACACACCACACCTGTAATCCCAGCACTTTGGGAGGCTGAGGCGGGCAGATCACCTGAGGTCAAGAGTTCGAGACCAGCCTGGTCAACATGGCAAAACTCGGTCTCTAAATGCAAAATTACCTGGGCAAGGTGGTACATGCTTGTAATCCCGCAATTCGGGAGGCTGAGGCAGGAGAATTGCTTGAACCCGGAGGCGGAGGTTGGAGGTTGTGGTGAGCCGAGATTGTACCACTGCACCCCAGCCTGGGTGACAGAGCAAGACTCTGTCTCAAAAAAAAAAAAAAGAAAAAAAGGACAGGCACACTTACAAGTCCGTGTGAGTGTGTGACACGCAAGAAGGGATTCTAGAAGGATACAGAAGCTGGGAAAGGTATACTAAAATCGGAGCACTGCCACCAGAGGAATGCTGACAATAATATTTCACATAAAACCAAAACGGATGCAGGTTTTAAAAGTTAAAATTAGCTTGTCTGTCAACTAGCGCCTTGAAATGGAGGTTGAAAGACTGGGGAGACCTTTTCCACTCATCCCGTGATTTGCTGTGGGGCCTGCACCAAGTTGTGCTATGCCTCTGTTATAACATCTGCAAAATGGAGATAACACTTCCTGCTACCTACCTCAGAGAGCTGTTAGAAGATTAGATACCAAAAAAGAAAATCCTCAAAGCCCTTTGAGTTTATCATAAATATAAGACATGCAATGTAATAAAATACCCGTACTCTCTACAAAAGCCCTGAGAGACTCAAAGCTATAGAAATAGGAAACAGACGCTGGCCGTACAGCACGGACGCATTCACAGTCGGGGAGGCTAGCCGCAGATTCCAGTGACCAGGCGGGGAAAATAACCCTGACATTCACATCTACTCAGACAAAACACAACACCCAGGAAAACGGAGGAAAATCGTATTGTTTTAGTGGCGCACCACTAAGTGAAAAGAAGCAATTCCCACCAATAACACTACTCATCCTTGCGTCAAAGTCTGGATCTACAAGAAGACAATCAAGTGACAACATTACACTGGTAGCTTTTCAGGTTTAGTCAAGTCTCATATTAAAGTCAGTTGGGCCGAGGACAGTGGCTCATGCCTGTAATCCCAACTTTTTTGGAAGCTGAGGTGGGACGATCACTTGAGCCCAGTTTGAGAACAGCCTGGGCAACACAGGAGACAATAACAACGATTTTTAGAAATTAGCCAAGCATGGTGGCACACGCCTGTGGTGCCAGCCACTTGGGAGGCTGAGGTGGGAAGGCTGCTTGAGCCCAGGAGATCAAGCCTGCAGTGAGTTGTGATCAAGCTACTGCACCCCAGCCTGGGTGACAGAGCAAGGCTCTGTCTCATGGAAAAATAAAATAAAATAAAGTAAATTGGCTGTCTACAGGGGTAAGGGCAATAACTCCCCACACTCAACAAAATGTAAAGCACGGAATGCATAAATTACAGTATTTTTAATTAATTTGTACTGAAAACAAAAGCCATAATTGACTGTACACAGCCATCTAAGGAAAGTAATTACTTTTTGGGTCCACAAGGAAATTGGGAGAAAAGTATTAAATGTTCATTTCTTCTCAGATATTCTGAATTATGAAAAGTTTAAAATTCAAATTAATTAATTAAACACATACTATTATATCAAGGATGTATTGTGAGTTACATGTCAGGTTAAAATTAAAAAGATGAATAAATATCCTTTTCCTGGTTCTCATGAACCTCAAAGTCTACCAAGGAGAGACAGAGACAAAGTACAAGGCAATGTGGGAAGGCTTTGAGTCAAGTATAAAGAGTGCTAAGGAAGAACAGAGGGGAGATGTAATTGATTCTGCGTGGAGAAGAGGAGGGTGAGGGGCTTAGGAAAGTCTCCGAGAATTGACACTTCAACAAGACCTTGCAGAATGTACAGTATTTCACCCAATACAGAAGAAGGAGAAGGGGCATTTTAGATATGTAAATGGCAGCCCACATGTCAAGGCATGCCCTGGCACGTCTGAGTCAAGTGTTACACAAAGCAGACAGCCTGGAAGGGCCTGGGCTGCAAGGTCTTTGTGCAGAAGGGAGCAACACAGGAGATTTTTTAAAAGAAACTTGGTATTTCCTACAACTCAGTAAAAGAGAAGGAGGCAAGTGGGCAGAGAGAAGCAGCAGGAAGGAGCAGGACGTGGCCGTGGCCACTGGGCCTGACACGATCTTGAGGAAGCTGACAGCATTGCTGAGCCCGAGTCTGCAGGTAGACGTGAGGAAGATAAAGAGGCAAGCAGGAAGGAAGGCGCACTGAACCGTGACTCGGAAAGGGTCAAGGGCGGGACTTCCAGCAGAAGTCGCAGCATAGCCCAGGTGGACAGTGTAGTACGGGGAATAATGGCCACAAATCTATCAGGTCCTAATCTCTGGGACCTGTAAACATAACCTTCTATGCAAAGACTTTGCAGATATGATGAAGCTAAGGATCATGAGATGGGGAGATTATTCTGAATTATCTAGCTGGACCTTAAATGTCATTACATGTATGCTTATAAGAAGAAGGCAGAGGCAGATTTGACTACAGATGGAAGAAAGAAAGACCATGTGACCATGGAGGGGGCAGATGCTGGAGTGATGCGGCCACAAGCCAAGGCATGTCAGCAGCTGCCAGAAGCTGGAAGAGACAAGGAACAGATTCTCCCCCAGAGCCTGTGGCAAGAGCTCAGCCACATCCAAACATAAATGTCTGTTGTTTTAAGGCACCAAAGTCTGTGGTAATTTGCTATAGCAACCAGAGGAAATTAATACACACAGTGAACTAAGAGTCACTCCCAGCTGTCTTTGGGTGCCACCATCACCGGCCTTGATAAGAATCACTCAGGCTGGGGGCGGTGACTCACGCCTATAATCCCAGCACTTTGGGAGGCCAAAGTGGGAGGGCAGCTTGAGGCCAGGAGTTTGAGACCAGTCTGGGCAACAAAGTGAGACATCATCTCAACAAAAAATAAAAATTAGCCAAGTATGGTGGTGCACGCCTGTAGTCCCGGCTACTTAGGAGGCTGAGGGAGGAGGACTGCAGGAGCCCATGAGTTCCGGGCTGCAGTGAGCCAGGATTGCACCACTGCACTCCAGCCTGGTCAACCAGAGCAAGATCCCATCTTCAAAAACGAAGAAGAATTCAGATGGAAGGCGCCCCAACTGTCAAGAAGAAATTGAAGTCTAAGCTGCCACCTTTGAGGAAGACAAGATTATTAAGCTGAGCACTAGCCAGCCAGGTATGATCATAGACTAGGTTAATACAAGGTGGGTGGAAGAACTATAAATAGAAGCCACCAAATGACAACACATCAGGGAAGGGAACAGGGTCTGAACGGTGGTGGGAACAATGGGGGAGACACAGAAAGCCCGAGGTCATCACTGGGCCACCACATTTCTGGTAGGAGAGTCATTTGAGCAGTAAGAGCCCACTGGATAGGGGAAGACATGATGGGAGAATGGGAAACATTTACATGTACCCTGTGTCAATCAGCACTGATTCATTAACTGGACCAGAACCAGACCACCAAATCAAAGACATCAGCGAATACGGATGTGGAAAGATTATGGCAAAGAGAAAGACAGGGCACGAAATGCTGAAAATCTTCAAATATGCTCTTCAGTCAATAACAAAAATAACACAAGGAGATCCACTTCAGAAGGGTGGGAGCAGTAAGGAGTGTCCATGGTAAACTAAACAGCCAAGTAAGAAGGTGATTGAGGCCGGGCGCAGTGGTTCACGCCTGTAATCCCAGCACTTTGGGAGGCCAAGGCAGGTGGATCTCCTGAGGTCAGGAGTTCGAGACCAGCCTGACCAACATGGAGAAATCCTATCTCTACTGAAAGTACAAAATTAGCCGGGCATGGTGGCACATGCCTGTAATCCCAGCTACTTGGGAGGCTGAGGCAGGAGAATTGGTTGAACCCGGGAGGCAGAGGTTGTGGTGAGCCGAGATCACGCCATTGCATTCCAGCCTGGGCAACAAGAGCGAAACTTCCAAACTCCATCTCAAAAGAAAAAAAAAAAAAGGTGATTGAACCAGCCAGGCTGGAGATGATCAGGGCCAGAAAGGAGAATAAGAAAAAGTGGGTGGATCAGAGAAATATTTGGAAGACATGGCAAACTGCTTGGGAATGGGTGACTGGGGAGCAGGGGACAGCAGGGAAATGAGAACAACAATCTCTGAACCAGAAAACTCAAAGGAAAAAGTGATAAAATAGAAACAGTTTGCCTCTGGCTCTACTGAGTTTCATGTGTGGGTGGGTCATGTCCAGAGTGATAGGCAGAGAGCACTGGGGTCTGAAACCAGAAGAATGTTGTAACTGAGCGTTTGAAAAAGTTATCTGTACTGTACTCTTTCATCGTTTTTCTGATTCATCACTATGAAAGGACCCAACAAAAGATTCCTAAAATTTTCATATCCTAAAAACAAAATGTTTGAACTACACTCATATTACTTACTTACAAGAAAAAACTCACCTCTCCAGCACTTCACAGTAAATGCATTAAAAATTTTCTAAGAAGGAGAAAAAAATCTTACCACGAGCCACTTCCTTTTTCAGCCTGTCTGTTTTGAGGACATCTGGTGAAATACACAATGGAGAACAGCGATTCATGGACCGGGGGCGATTGAGAAGGATGTTCGGTAGTAACGCAGGGATGACTTGGTGGTGGATAAGAAGACACACATTTTAAATTTGCAGATGGCATCAAATTAGATGCGGTTGGAGCAGTAAATGCAGATCCTACAAAAAGGAAAAACCCAATTATGTTCACTGATATGAACTACCTGGGTAAAAGGGAACAGGAAAAAAAATTAATAAAGACACAGGTTTATCTACGGAAGAAAACGTATGTTAATCAGATGTGAAAATGACTCATTTGTGCTTACAGCTATAGATTCCATATTCCCCTTCACCAGAGAGCTCAGCTGCATTGGAGCTAAGCTCCAATCCTATTCTCCAATCCTATTGGAGACTGCAGACAGCTCCCCGCTCTCACCTGCTATTTTTCATGACTGGTACTAGCTGAAACACGGAAATGACTTACAGGGGACAGCATGTGGCATTCTGGATTAGACAGTTGGTGGGCGTGGCAATGTGGGACGGCAGGACAGTGTAATTCAAAGATGCAAAGGACGATGATATAATCCCCGTCCTTAAGCAATTGTGTGTGTGTTACGATAAACAAGGTTCTTGGCCCAATAACAAAGACCACAGCACTGCAGAGGTGACAAAAAAAAACAGCACCTCTATCTTAGCCAGCTGAACCTTAAAAAAATATACTCACAGTGAGGAAATAAATGACCTAGGAAAATATGTAAATAAACAAGTAAACATACGCACCAAGACAAGTCTTATGTTTTATGACCTTTTATTGCAAACACATTTCGGTTATCTCCAATTAAACTTTGAAGCTCATGAGAAGTCCTGACTGCATACTGCTGTTCTGGAATAGAGGACAGCATGATCAAAAACCCCAAGCGTGCCCAACAGTGAACGACACTGCCTTGTGTTTGCACAGTCCTTCTAGGAATGCTGCCTCATACGCCATCTCATCGGATCCCAAGCGGGGCAGGGTATGTGTTGACTTCTCCAAGTCTGGGGCAAGGATTATTCCACATTCTTTTATGTAGTATGGTGTATAAGTTACACTGAGGGACCTAGAAACCTAAGTAATATTATTCATACCTGCCCTTAGGGAGTTACCAAAATGGACACGTAATGTATTCACACAAGGCAAGAAATGAGATACAGAAAGCGCAGGCTCTGAGTCTCCTAGAGAAGAGGTATAGACGAAGGAGAACGAGAAGGCGAGCTGCAGCACGAAGGATGGCAGAGAGATACCCCAAGTGGAAGCAGAGTAAAGGAGATTTGACTCAGATAAAGGAAGAATGAGCCTGGTGTGATGGTGGAAACTCTTGCTCCAGAGTAGAAGGTGCTGAGAACAAATGAGGAGCAGGGCTACATGAAGACAAACTGGAGGGATCTGGGCTTTACTCAGAACCACTGTAAACTTTGAACCAGGAATGAAAGATAAAACACGGCCTTAGAAAGTGAATCAGAAAGCTACCAAGGGAAGATGGGACTGGTTAGGAGCTGTTATGTCGACACAGGCATGAAGCCGTGAGTTCTTGACCAGGGAGATGACTGGGGGGAAGAGTACTCATGATGAATTTAAAAGGTTTCAATGACTGTGGGGATAAGGGGATAAAGGACCGGAGAAAGGGAAGAATGGCTAGGGATTACACCTCACTAAGCAGAAGAATGAGAATACCACGGATGAGTCATTGGGAAGGAAGGAGGAAGAACCAGTTTGGGGATTCTCTGTTGAAGACACCTCCATCTGAGGTAAGGGTGGTATTATAGCCCATAGAGGTATCTTCTGGCGGGGTCAGAGCAAACATGAGCAGTCTAGACTGAAGCTGGATGAGAAGTCATGATTCTGGATGCGAGATGAAATAATACAGGTTTAGAGAAACTATTTAGAGAAAGAATTCAGGGGCTAAACGCTGAGAAGATTGTGGAATTTCTCAAACACACATTACAGCTTTTGATTTTAGTGGCAAACCATCAGGAAAAATTCTAAACCAAAGAACTTGGAAGTACTTCAGAAACGAGAGCAGACTTATACAGGGCCGTAGTTTTCAAAATATTCCAAAGACAAACATCTGACAAGCAAAAGTCATCCTAAAATATCAAACTGCCAATTTCACGGTCAGTAATGACATTAAATAGAGCTCTGTGGAATTTGACTCTCTAAATAAATCACGGTTCACTAATAACCTGATTTTAATCACTTAAGGCCATGACAAAAAAGCATCCAATGTCACCAACATGTAGGTAGGGTCTGATATTTTTAGCCCTCCCACTGACAACCATAAAAACAACCACTGACATGTACATGTTTAAGGATTCCTAGAGCCCTAAACACTGCACTTCCGTGTCAAGGAGCCGCTCCACGTTTTGAAAGTAGGAAGGGAAACCAGATACTCTCTTCGGTGGTTCTCAAGCTTCTGGTAGAGAACATGAAGCTAGAAGAGGTTTCAAGCCTGCATAAACACACAGGGTATTCAGGAGCTTGGCATGGACTGGGGGATGGGGGGAAATAACATGGCTTCTGCATGCATATGAAAACACGTAACAGTCAAACCCTACCTTCCACTTAAAGATGTTCCAGTGAACACATTAGAAACAAATGTTTACACTGCCCTTCTGCCCCATTTTCTCTCCCAAATCCAGAAACCTGCCAAAAGTGAGAAGCCACTTTTTCAAACAATATAATCTAAAAACAGTGGCTAACATGTATTTGTTACTAATTTATTTAGCAAAGGTGGCTAACACCTACTTAATACTACGTACCTGGTACTGTTCTAAGCTCTTACACACTCACAAAGAACTGATGCAGTAGGCATGATTATTGTCCACTCCATCACTCCATATTACTTAAGGAGAAACCAAGGCACAGAGAGATGAAGTCACCCAAAGTTGCAACCTTAGTATACCGCAGAGCCAGGACCAGAATCCAAACAGCCTGATTCCAGTGTCTCACACGCAATTCCCCATCTATCTATACTGTTTGTCAGGCCCGTGCTCCAACATATCACCTGTTTAAAAAAAGTAAACTGTTGTTTAAAGATAGGAAACACTGTCTATGACCTAAGTGTTTTTGATCATTTCAAAAATCTCCAAGAGTACCAGATACAAACAAGTCCAAAGAGAGTAGCAACATGCATATACACAGAAAACTTTCTGAGGATAGTTTAAATTTAAAAGATTCCACTTGGCAATGAAGAAACCTTTCACCATTTTAGGGTGATCAAAAGAAAAATGAAATGAGCTGTATTAAAAGGAAACTTGGAAGCATCCGCTCCTGAACAACTTTTCAAGCCATGCTCCTGAAAGACTCACGTTTGTCTATCTTAGAATTTGAACTAAATACAGATTTGCTTTTGTTATGATCACTTCAGGATTTATTTTGTGTTTACTATCCTAATTAATTTAATTTTTCTCTCACTTTCTGTAATCTTAGTCTAAATCTGAGTTACAAAGAATTACACAAAGATTTGACATTTAATCCTTAGGAAGCATGACAACTTTCACTGAAAACTTATGTTTCAGCTGGGTGCAGTGGCTCACGCCTGTAGTCCCAGAACTTTGGGAGGCTGAGGCAGAAGGATAGCTTGAGCCCAAGAGTTTGAAACCACGCTGGGTGGCAAGGGGAGACCCCATCTCCACAATAAATAAATTCACCAGACATGGTGATGCATGCCTGCAGCCCCAACTACTAAGAAGCTGAGACAGGAGGATTTCTTGAGCCCAAGAGGCCAAGGCTGCAGTGAGCCAGAATTGTACCAATGTACTCCAGGCGGGGTGACAGAATGAGACCCTGTCCCTGTCTCTCTCTCTCTCTTTAACACACACACATACACAAAGACCCTGATGTGCAACCTGTCTTTGCGAAGAACAAATTTTAATTGAAGACTTTCACAACGAAGATTCCAGGTAGTTGTAATATTGATTCTCCTAACCTTCTTCTAGATCCAGTGTTCTGATTTGGCCAGTTTTATCTAGAAGGTGGCATATTTATATGTCACCTTATTTCAAAATGTAGAGTCAAAGAAAATGCTCCTAAACATAGCTATTGAAAGACAAAGTAAAAAAGCAACCAACAATTTTTGAAGAAATGATATTTTCCACGTGATTCTCACGCAAATACGCATAGAGGAAGATATAATTTCTGGAGTCCGTCTCCCGTGATCCTGTAATGACCCAGGGACTGACAACACAGAACACAAGTGATTAGGTCTGTCCGCAGGGTTTTACCAAGCCAAACTGTCAGGGAGGGGTTTTAGAAACAGCAATAGAATCTTCATCAACAGCTGCCAGAAGGGAGTTTGGCCTGTTGGGCTCAAGCAATATCCTGCCTCAGCCTTTTGAGCAGCTGGAGCTAGAAGGTCCTAGTGAATCCTTGTTTAAACACCACGAAGGTGTGGAGAACACAAGTTGCATGAAATGGGTGGCCACACTGCTCTCTCCCCAGCCACACACCTCTAACAGTGCTAATGTACACAAGGAATTACCATCCAGGTGCAGCATCCAAAGGTAGTCAGACACCTAAGAGCAACAAGCAAAAAGACTTTCAAACAGCCTCAAATGAGAACAACAGGAGCCAGACGCTCATCATTAAAAACAAGAACAAAACAAACTTTGAAGTTAGTTCACATCAGTAGCTTTAGGATGGCATGAAATTTTATGACTTCTCTGCACTTTTAAGATCTTAGCTGCTTAGATCAGCAGATTCAACTTTTTGGCATCAGGGACCAGTTTCATGGAAGACACTTTTTCCATGGATGGCAGTGGGGGTCCAGGTGGGGTTTTGGAAGGAAACTGTTCCACCACAGATCATCAGGCATTAGGTAGATTCTCATACGGAGCACGCAATCTAGATCCCCAGCATGCGCAGTTCACAGTAGAGTTGGTGCTGCTATGAGAATCGAATGCCGCCATTTATCAGACAGGAACTCAGGTGGTAATTCTCACCCCACCCTCATCTCCTGCTGTGTAGCCTGGTTCCTAACAGGCCACAGACTGGTTGGGGACCCTGGCCTAGATCTATGCCTGCAGGGATAAAAAAGAAGCTGCAGTCAGATTTAAGCAACATAAAACTTTTCTTAAATCATACTTTGGGCCGGGCACAGTGGCTCCTGCTTGTAATCCCAGCACTTTGGGAGGCCGCGGTGAGC